CACACATATCGTTCACGGCGTACGCGTTCACACGCACCGTAAACAAAATATGCATCGTGTACACGTAGGTATAAAATCCACTCCCGAAACGGTTAGAACGGAAAATATGCGCGTCGCGAGCATTGCAACGCGTGTTCGAAACGTAGTAGTACGACGGGACGACGGAAACGTCGTTAGTATTTTCGTCCGGAGAGGTATAAAAACGGAAAGGTTTGATGGTGAAAAACAATGCACACGGTATGCGAACGAATATATATGGTATAAGTTCGATTGCCTTCTCCTCCCGTGATAGAAATCGAACGCGCAAGCGTATACGCGTGTTGATTGCGCGCGGTGTTCGCTTTTTCGCTTTTATCGCGGATAGGTCGGCCGGAGATTCATGCGACCGGGGAATGAAGAACAGCCGTACGGGTTAGTCGACGGCAAACAATGAGATAACGGGCAGCAAAAACGCGCGTCCGCGTCGCGTTATTATTAACGGTCGCGAACTGTCCCTCGTAACCACGTCCGCGAGTGCTCACGTGAAACCGGGGCCGGTGCCCGCGCGTTCGATTCCCCGGGAACGGAGCGAATGCGTCGCCCGCGCGCGCGAACGGTGATTTAACGCGCGACGAGGGCGACCGCCGGACCGGTTGTCGCCGCGCGGTTTATCGCCACTTCCACCGGCCGTCGTTCGACGATCCCCTACGGCCGCTTTGCCGGGACAATAACTCTTGCAAGAAACCGTACGCGTCCGGGCCGAACGCCCATTATACGCAGTGACGGTGCTAGAGTTCGCAAGGCCCTGGGCAAAATGTTGGGTCTTATAATTTATATTAATAAAATGTTTTAAGTTCAGTTAATTCAGAACCGCGGGGCCTTAACTATAATTTAAAGCGCGGGGTCCTGGGCAACTGCCCCTATTGCCCACCCCCTCGTACGTACTGCGTGCGTTCATAAACATTAATTTCACGACGGCGCGTTTAACGCGTACTGCGCCGATACCGATGTACCGGTAACGATTCGTAGTGATACATCAGCGGTCGGAACAGGGCTGGCAAGTCGTTCCGTTTGCGTGTTTTTCGTTTATTTTTTCGGTTACGCTCGCCCGTAGTTGCTCAGAGATTTATTGCTCGATTGTGCGTTTCGTAAACGTACCGTAATATGTTGGCGTGGCCAAAACGATCGAAACGCGTACGGTACGCGCGTTATCGTTGGCCCGTTCGGTTTTGGGATTTTAATTGTTTTTCACCGCGACTCCCAGCAAACAAACGCTCCGATCGTAAGGCGCCGTTGTACAACCTACCAAAAAGTCATAAAAGGGACAGACATTTACCGAATTTCTATTGAATTACCAATTTTATATTACCTACCGCTGCCAGTTGCCAAGACTTACCCACCTATTAAAATGACACCCACCCCAACATTTTTGATAATTCCGTTAACCATAAAGTTCATGATCAAGCCGCCCCTCAGGCACGCGTTACCACGTGACGTTGTTAAGAGATATGTTTCCGCTAACCTTCCACCGAGAAACATACGTTTTTGCCGAAAAGAGCTTTTTTCGCCACGTTTGCTCTTGGCCGTCCAATTGTCCAAAAGCCCATCAGCACCAATCGGTCGAAATTCCAAGGACCATGTGACATTTATTACAAAATGTGACAATAATTAAATGTTTCCGTCTGTAGTCCGCGGACTGTTTATTTTAGAATATTCTATCCCGGGGAGGCATCGACGATTTTCGGGGGTTACGCCACGGAAGTAAACAATCGATAAATAAATACGGTTTTTTTTCGGGAAACAAATAGGTACTGCGCATCTACACAATAACACACAGGTTCCCAACCAGGGTGCCGCGAGATAAAATTTAGGGTGCCGCAAAAATATGTGAAATATGTATTTATTTTTAATCGCCTTCGTGAAAAATATAGCACTGTGAGTATTAAAACAAACTATACTCTATGTCTATAGTATAAAATCTATTGTATATAATTAATTAGGTATATACAATATAATTTAATGAATTAATTATTAACACGTATAATTTTTACACAGTAATACTGAGATGTTCAATCTATTTTAATTTTCATACTGGTTCGATTGCTATCGATTTGATGTGAATTGTTTTAAAGTTATTTACGGTGAAATACTTGTGACTTTATCTTATCTTTGTTGTTTATTAATGCTAAATAAAACCGAAGTTACAAAATATAAATTTAAATATACGATATATAAGTATTGCGTATTCAGTATAAACTATAGATTATAGGGCATAGGCTATAGGGTGCAGTGAGTCAAAAAAGGTTGGGAACCTCTGCGATAACGATTATACATGGATTTCATTCGAAACGCCCACGGTTATCTACTATTGAACGTTGTTCGTAGTACTTAAATGCGCGAATTAAATGTAATACTTGTCCACCGCGCATCGCACGTACACAGGTCCCGGGTACAATACGACGTTTATTTTCGTTTCGCCCTCAACTCGAAAACTCTGTTTTCATTCCAATAATTCGGATGTTTATGACGTCTCGCGTTTTTCTTCCCGACCGCGATTTATATGTATATAAATACAGGCGCGTGCACGAAAAAAATATATTTAGGAGGTTTCCGGTTGTTTTCATTTTCATACTTACACCTATATAAAAACGTAATTGATAATTTTCCTGAACTTCGGGGGACGGAGGGTTGAACCTCTAAAACCCCTCCTTGCGAACGCGCCTGTTTATACGCGTTCAGAATGTTACGTACATTCACAGGAGCACGTTGCCACAAAATAGTGTTGTTATATTTCGTATTGTTTATCGTTATTATTATTATTCTCCTACCGCGCGTAGAATCGAGCCGTTATTCCGTTTATTTGTTTTTTTCATTCTTTTAGGTAATACGTATGTGTAAAAATTGTGTCTCAACACCGACCCGTAATTCACAGCCAAACGGCAGCGATCCTCTCGACTGCAACTGTATGTGCAGATTTTCATTGATCGAACACGATGCGCGTACACATTTTTTATCATAACTATTAGGTATACCTGTGTTTATTATAATTTTACAACACGCCCGTTGTGCATCATACCTAAATCATTTCGACCGGACGAACGTGAGCGCCGTACGATGTTATTCACTTAAATGTTGTTGTCGAGTTGTTTTTTTTTCTTCGTTTCTTTACAACGAAACGTGTCCCTATGGTGCATACTATCCGAAGCGACTTGTTGCGTAATAAAATATTACCAGCGTCGTGGTTCGTAATACAGTTGTTACGTTCGGAATTCGAACGACGAACGTTGATAGTTATATTATTAACTTGAAAATTATGCACATCACGCATCGATTCGATCGTTGGATTTAAAAATGGTATTTTTTTTATTTATTTTTTTAATTTTTTTGTTCTGTACAAGTTTTTATTTTTATTGATCAATTTACAATTTCTACTGCATCCGTTTACACTGGTTTCAGACCTTTCAGTACGTATTTATAACAGTTTTTTTTTTCAATTCACGTTCGGTTGAATTTCATTAAATAAATTAGTTTTTTTCAGAAAAATTATGATTAGATTAATGGGTTACTCTGAAAGTTTGCCAAAACCGAACATGAATTATTAATAACGACGACAGAATAAAAACCACAATAACAAAATAATATACTCGAAATCGCATGGTCGAAAAGTAATAGAAATAGATGGTCGTAAAAAAAACAACGCGTCATTTACGTTATTCCTTGTTAACTTTATAAACAATGGTAGGACAAATCTGTTCGGTGTAGAGAGAGAACTTTATACCAACCCAATCCTACGCGTCACTGGACCACCTTGATTTGAAAATTATTTACCGCGTCGATAAACTTTCGCGACAGCGATTAAACACGACATTTTCTCGCTGAAATGAAATATTAATATTAACACTACGAAACGCAGCGTCGATATCCGCAACCGGTTTTCTCGCGAACGCGTTAAAAACTAATCGAAATTGGCTAACAAGTGATACATATTAACAATAAATACCCGGGTACTAATGACGATTGACTAATTAATTAACGACCGATCGCACCACAAATCGCAGAAAATCGTTCGGGTAAAACGATAGTATACGCAATGAGGACCACGGATTTCGTGTTCGTGCACAAGCCTACGAACCGAATTGTACGCCGAATGCACCGCGAAGATTATTATTATTTTTAGTGTAACGCATCGCGCGCGGTGATCGAAAGGGAAATCGGTTCGGTCGATTTGACTACCGCGCCTTGTACAGGGTCGATGTTACGTCTCGTCTCGTAACAAAACAATGCGACGAGGAAAGAAAATGGGAAAATCTTCGACGGCGGGCGTGCGGTCGGAATTACGTATGGACAGTCACGGATCTAGAAATGAAAAAAAATGGGGGGGCTAAAAAAGCGAGTTATTGCCATAACTCGTTGCGTGTGGTGATTTGTACGAAATCTTACTTACGTCTAATTTTTTAAATATTTTAAGTACCCACGTCCGATATGGTTCAACCTAATGTCTAAGGGGGGGAAGGGACCAGCCCACATATCCTCCTCCTTTGTATCCACGCCTGCGTATAGATTTACACCAGAATTCACATTAGTACACGATGTCATCGCTGCGCGATCGTTCGCGAAAGCACAAAAACAAAAACGAATGCATTCTTTCGACGTCGATAAAACTACGAGACACGAGCACGATCGGAGCACGTTATTGTGTTCGTACAACGTATACGTTGTTAGGAGATATATTACCTATACCGGCACGCGAACCCGAAAACTTTGAGTTCAACACACCTGGCCGTTCGACAGCTAAGCTCGCGAGGTCCGGTCGGAGTGTTAAAATTTTTCATTCCGCGCGTACGCGTACATTACGCGCACGTGGTTGACGAATTATTTTAGCAATTATACGTTCGCTGCACGTATTTCATGCGCGCTCAGCGTCTGTCGATGAAACGACATCGGCCCCGGAAAAATAATTAAAGATCAAACGTTTTGGTACGGGTCGGATTTACGAATCGGATTTTAAATTTCGTTCGCAGGAAGGCACGATAGGCGAACACTTGGTGGTGAAACCCATTCCTTCCGTGTACAGGAGACACGTTCAGTCCTCTCCCGACGACGAGATGTTCATGGACCAGGAGGTTCGGGACGGCGACGACGAGGTGTCCAGACGGGGGTTCCCGCTGAAATCCGAAAAGTTCGTGGCCCATCACAAGCACGTCGTGTACAGGCGGAATCCCGAAACGGACCGGAACGCGGGAGATTACGGTAATGCGTCGCGAAGTTCGTTTACGGGGTAATATAACTGGCCCGGTATCAAAACTCTGTTGGTTTCTGTCCCGCAGCACTAATGGAACCGGATTCGTTGCCAAAGAGCAGACGGAAAAGATCGATCAGCAAGAGGGAAGCGCCGTACGCCATCTACCCGGAAATAATGGTCATCGTGGACTACGACGGTTATAGGTAATAACGTGCATAATAAATAACACGAATCTCGTAAATTATAAAACGTGTAATGTAGGGAGTAACAACTGTTTTCGCGCTTTTTAACAATAAATTATTTTGAATGCGTATAAAGGTTACACGGAGGAGACAACGTACAGATAAAAAGATACTTCGTGTCCTTCTGGAACGGCGTGGATCTCAGATACAGGCTGCTCAAGGGTCCGAAAATACGCATAAGCATCGCCGGCATTATAATATCAAGGGTAAATTATAAAATACTTTAAACATAATTTAACAATATTTTCAACATAATTTCGTGCAAGAGTACTCGACGTACGGTGCGACTCACAAGCTTGGCATACCGACGCTCTCGTCCGTCTCGATTCCGATTTCGTCGAAAAGAGCTTTTTTCGACTTCGGACAGTTTTCCAGTATCGAGTCCAGTATTTCCGTGCACATACGTTTACGTTTCCTGTATTCCTTGGTTATTTTCTCGTAATCCTTCTTCACCGTTTCTCTTTCTTTTTCCGGCACGTTGCCACTTTGTCCCGACAACTGATCCAACTGCGATCTAAGTCCGGAGACGATTTCTTCCATTTCGGCCACCTTGCGTTTCGCCTCTTCGATGCTGCAAGTGCCCTGAATGGCTTTCACTTCGATTTCCGATTGCTTATACTTGCGTTCGACTTCGCGTAGAGCCTGGTTAGTTTTCATCAACTCTTCGTCGATCGCCTGGATTTCCTTTTGATCTTCCGCAGTCGATTCCGGCTGCACGACACAGTAAATTTTCTGCTTGCCGTTCAACTTCATAAAGACCTGGTTCTCCTTCACCAACTGATCCAGAGCCTTGTCCACGGCCGATTTCCCGATACCCTGCCGTTGTACACCCGCGAACACGTCGTTGCCAGTGAACGGTCTGTTGGCCGTCGACATGAACTTGTAAACGATTTGCTTGTCGCTCGAACCCATGATAGCTGAAACGAGAAAATCGACGGCGCACAATATTATATCATAACAATCGGTGTACGGTTTTCAGGCGAGGGACGCCACACCGTATTTGGAGAGAAACAGGGTCGGTAGAGATGCTATCGACTCTGCGGCAGCACTCACGGACATGGGAAAGTACCTGTTCAAAGAACGAAGACTACCTGTGTACGATATCGCCGTGGCCGTCACCAAGTAAGTCGCTGATTCCTGACAACGGTATAAATACTGAAAAACAAACAAAACAGAAACAATTAATTGATTTTTTTTTTTTTTTATAAATATCTTGAGTATATATCTATTTAGTATGGCACAAAATGTTTTTGTGTGATATTACAAATAAACATGTAACGGGTCATTATAATCGGCAACGAATGCATTTAGGTACGACATGTGCAGACGTCGAAAAGGAGGCCGTTGCACAAAAGGAACGGCTGGTATGTGGTAAATAAGAATAAGAGGGGAAAATGCTTAATAGTTGTGATATGGGAGAATTTGTATATACAAATTTTCAGCCTACAAAAGGCATTACTAAACAACCTTCTTGGTATTTTGGGTTACCGAGTATATAAATAATCATTATTATTTTGGTACCTAACGGGGCTTCTTATAACGTGTGTAGATGTAGATCATTAATACTCTATTTATATACATATTATATAAAAACTGACATGGTATTATCATATTCTACGTAACCGTTTTAAACCACGTTGGCGAACCGAGTGAAACGTTATGTCCAGATGAGGAATTCGTCACGGATTAAATACCATAAAATGTTTCATTTTCAGATTAGACATGTGCAGGCGACAATACCCACACGATACATGCAACAGGGGTACCGCAGGTATGTCCCCGAAAAGCCAAATCATTTATCAGAGCACTTGTAATTTGTTCGGCCCCGAGATATCATTTCATTTACCTTTCCAAAAATTGCACTTACAATTAAATACTGTAAAATTGTTTATTTTTGTTTGGCAAACAAAGGTCACCACAATCTTGGTTCATTCACTATCTGGCACTGAAATTCTGAAATTACCGGGACATTTTATACTTAAGGTCACCATTATCTTCTTTTACACTGTTTTAAATATTACATACATTATACAATAGCAGCATTGAAAATCATCGCGAATCTTTAATATAATTGCTATCAGCTAATCGAAATGATTTTTATCGTTTCGAGAAAGAATGACACATACACACGCGCACACGCACACACGCATACACACACACACACACACACACACACACACAAACACATTCAGTTCACACGCAAACGTGACATGTGGTAATACTGCTGCGAAACGAGTTAGCTAATGGTGTACGCAAAGCTTTCTTTATGGTGATTTGTTTCCTAAATGAAAAAATTTACATTAATTTTTTGCATGTCTCTCTAACAAATTGTACGAGTGTATATAACATACATATTATATTTATATTTTTAACTTAATCAGCTGCGCTGGACCGGAGTACAAGGTAAAACGATTTAACAACGTTACACGCTTTCCACTTAAATGTGTTCGTATAACAATAGTATAGTGTATTATTATGTATTAAATTTGTATTTATTATACATAATAATAACAATAATAATAATAATATGTTAATAATTGCACTTCGATAATAGCGATGAGGCGTGGCCATCCGTTCGCGTCGGTATCAGCTATCTACGTACACCTATGTGTATAATAATATATTGTAATTATATATAACAAATAACATCGCTCGGGCAAAAGTGGTGCTGTTTTCACTCGCTTTATGGGCCGGGTAAAATATCAAAATTCAAACGTTTCCCTCGAGTATTCGCTGGTTTTTAATCGCCGTCTTGTGTGTACGCGTGTAGGATTCGCATACGTCGGTGGAGCGTGCGTGGTGAACAAACGTCTTGAGAAAGTCAACAGCGTCGCCATCATAGAGGACACGGGCGGATTTTCGGGCATCATCGTAGCCGCGCACGAAGTCGGTCACCTGTGAGTACACATATACTGATCGATAATATTCTGAACGGTTCGAGCACGACGACCACGACGGACGGACTATGTACCTATATATTCCTGGTGGTCGTCTTCGATCCGTGACAGAAATAATAAATAATTTCTTTTTTAAATATTTTTTTTTCCACCCGTTCTCGTTTCAGGTTGGGCGCGGTGCACGACGGTTCGCCACCGCCGACTTACCTGGGCGGACCGGGCGCGGAGAAATGTCGCTGGGAGGACGGGTACATCATGAGCGATCTGCGGCACACCGAGAAGGGTTTCCGATGGTCGCCGTGCAGCGTGTCATCTTTCCATCATTTCTTAAAGTTTGTACAAACGGATGATAGTAATATGCTTCTCGCGCGGGCGACCGGTCGAACGAACCGTGTCCATACACACGTCGCACGCGCATTTATCTGGGTGCAAGGGGTAGGATTATTCTTCCGGTTCGGTATATCGATACAGCGCGTAGAACCATGACGATGTCAACGTGTTCCCGTCAGACGTTCAAGACATTCCGAGAGGGAGGAGAAGGGGGGGTCTTGGAAAACTGATGCACGAGAGGCAAAGTATCCACAGTGAGTTTACACCACCGTCGGTCCTTGATATTCCACAAATCGTATTCGAAGTGCATAAAAATAATCGTCTTAAAACCTCGAGCAAAAGGCCGTGTTGTCTTGACATAACTGTACGTCTAGTCTTGTACGACCCGGCTCACCGGCACGAGTTGCAACAGCGTACGTCGTTTCGCTACTGGGCACATGTGTTACGGTTCGAGTTGGCAATTCCATTGTTGCGCTACGCAAAGCGCTCGGACGGATTGAACAAAGTATCCGATACAATATTAGTATGTACGGGACACAACCCGTTTACTGAAATAAGTATAAAAATATTTTTCTCGATATAAAAAGAACATGATTCGTGAACTTTGAGCCAGTCGGTTGTAAGTATCGAGAAATAAAGCTGTAGAGTGAAACTTGAATGAGAATGATATTAATGATTTTTTTTTCATTACAATTTATAACTGCAGTCGAATATCGATGGGTACGGTTGATAGAAAAAAATTATTTTATGACGTCAATGTCCGGTCACGCGGATAAACTATACACGACTCTGTCGTGTCTTTCAATGTTAATTACTCAATAATTTCCAACAAATCCGTTTAATGTCATCAAAAATACTTCTTGAATTATTGTTGTGAACAAAACGACATCAAAGTTTTAAGTGCATTTACCATATATCAATACTATATTTATGTTGTGGTAATTATTCTTCAGACTAGTTTATTACGGGTCACATGCCTGCTGTGACTTGACACTTAAGGATCCGTTACAATATAATATTATTTATATGTTATAACGTTGAACGAGTAAATGTGTATACTGTTATTACGAGTTTAATATTATTTATAAACATATTCAATCCACTTATTTCTGTTGTATCAACTTTAATATCAGTTTACTGTTAAATAAACCAGAATAAAGCAGAACATGAAGGGTAGAATACGATTGCGTATGAAATTTTATGCAACGTTGTCAAATTTACGAATTTTACTGTATTATATATATATATATATATATATATATATATATATATATGTAATACAGTAATAATATAATGTATATATAATATATTTCTGTAACAATTCATAAAAAAAAAAAATAATAAGAAAATAATAAATAAAATGAGAATAACTAAGTAAAAGCAAAGTAATTAATAAAAAATAAAATCTTATTTTAATGGAATTAATGTTAGTTAATTATTTGAAAATACTTTAATTTGTAATACCCCGACATCTATAACCTACTACTTATACTGAAACGCGGAAAATACCGTACAATATAACGGAAATAACGATATTTTGTTGTATCTGATATATTTGATATCATTAACAAAAAACATAGGTAATAAAATCGATAAAACACAAAGTATTTATTAACTTTTTCAAGTTCACTTGTATAGGCATCTGGTATACACCAATAACGGTATAAAAACTGGCATCAATGCTTAAAACTTCGCACGCAATCGTGTAGTTAAAAATCAGGGAATTGTACGGAATCGTGTAGCATAAAAAGGTATCTCCGATAACGAACGTACGCAATCGTGTTTTACCCAACATGAATTCCTTGCTGTAAAATAGTACTTTTGGAACAAGCGTCGTACGAAATGCATGATAACTATCTCCTTGAGCCGTTTAACGTAAATACATATTACAATACAAATTGTTGTTGTTTTACCCTTTGCAGCGGTGACACAGCTACTTGTCTGTTCAATTCGCCGCACGAAGATGAGTCTTTGCCGAGGATGTTGCCGGGAAAACTATTGACTCTGGACGCTCAGTGCCGGAAGGACCGAGGGACTAGCGCTTGTTTCGTGAGTTATTAACCGAACCTAACGTGACGAAAAAAAATAACGATTTCTTTTTTCTTCCCTCGCAGAAAGACGACAGGGTGTGCGCTCAGTTGTTCTGCTTCGACGCGGGATCGGGCTATTGCGTCGCTTACAGACCCGCAGCCGAAGGGTCGCCTTGCGGAGACGGACAAGTGAGTACCACAGTCAAAAGGCGTTGGGTTAAACGCACCAACAGATTCGTCCCGAAGGGGGTCTTAAGGGAGGGTCTCCCCCCCCCAACAACAAAAACACCAGTCGGCAGTCGGACTAGTTTCATTATAGCCTAGAAGGACCTAATTTTACTTACGAAAAACAAATATTATACATTTCGTAATACAGTGTATACACGAATAAAATTTAAAGAACTACTTATTATACAATATAAAATATTATTTTATTTATAATTAAATTGTCAATTTTAAGAATGTGCGACACTGACACATATATACATGTTAAAAAGTAAAAATACAACTACATATAGTTAATTATAATTAATGTATGTAGTATACTACATACATTGAGTAAAAAATTGTAGTCGGCATTTTTCATATTATTCACCCCTTGATTTTCATCTTCGGGACGGCCTTTTTGCACCAACAGCATAATATCATGCGTCGTAGCAACGCGTTACAAAGGATTTTATGTAAACGATGGTCGTGATTTATCTTTCAGCACTGCACCAACGGCAAGTGCATAACGGAACACGAGAACATAATACCGGATTTCTCGCAAAACACTCCGGCCTACCTGCGCCGGTCCGGGGACGAGGGCGAAGCGACTCAAGACTGGCCTCAGTATTTGTCTCCTAACGTGACGACACAAAGGTAAAAATTAACCCGTCGCATACCAACCAACGCGGTAGGTATAATACGTCGGCATGACGCCGAACGGTGTCCGATCGTCTTTGGGTACGCACATACCACGGCACCGCCTACACCGGGCATCGGTTTACCCGTATATAAGCGCACGCCGAATGCACAGTGTACGGTAGATCGACGGACGATCCAACGGGCGACGCTTGGGCCGAGACAAGCATTCTTCGGTTTCCTTTTCGTTTTCCACCCACCCGAAGGGCTTTGTTCAATCCGACTAAGTACCAACTCGCGGAAAGCTACGTTGAGCGGTGTCACAAGAAACAATGTTTAAACGCGATCAAACGTGATACCACACGATAAATTTCAACCCGACGACGATGAACACGTTTCAAAGTTCGAATGAATTCGACTTCGCTAAAGCTTCCGCGGCCGATTAGACAAGGCCGATAACAAGTTGGTGCGATTAGGAATGCGATCCGCCCAGGCGTCGCCGGTGCATACACGTGTCATCTTACGCGTTTCAAAGATGCGGTGCGTTTTCGGACCGACAGCCCCGACCTCCACCGAAAACACGTGCCCGTCGGTTGAGACGCGTCTGATTTTACGTCATGTCCGTTCACTTTTTGTAAATATAGTAGGCACTATTATAATTTGTATTAAGAATGAAAAGAGATTACTCGTGGGCGTTGAAATGTGTCGCCGAAAAACAGCAATACTTAAGTGATACAAGCATCAACGTATTTTCTTATTCATCACCATCTCTCCTGACCCTCCATCTACGAACGTATCGATTTCACACACGACAAATCACGCTAAACCTTCTATTCTTCTGTCTTCGCCTCCTATCCTTAATCTTCACGACCGCTTATTCTCTTCTTCCTCGTACCCCACCGTTCGAACAGTCTCAATCTGTGATCTCCTGTTGACCTGCTTGATGTTACTTCCCAGAAACACGGTGCACACCTAGTCTTCTACGTAGACACTCCACACATCTTGACACATCTTTCCGTCTCCGTTTTGTTTCGTCACGTGAACCTGAAATCTCCAGTTCGGTCTTCACGTCGTATCACGTTTATTTCGCATGATTGGTCCAATCAAACCAAACGGTGAAACCTATCGTCAACGCGACTCAGTACACGATCCCTCGTCTCACGTCAAAACCGTTCCTGCGCTCGTTCGTACACGTACAATACACATTGCGCCAGTTGAGTAGTGGATCACTAAATGTTACTGAATTTGACGGCGTTTTAGGTCCGTGTGGAATGACTACTGGAGGACGACCCAGAAGTCGATCGCCACCACCAATACACGTAATAACCACCCCCGACTAAACTCGTACGCGTTACCACTGAACCCTTATCAACAACCGGCACCGCCGCAGGTGACCACTACCACCGAGACATATAACGACGCACGACACTCGTACAAACTTCAACTGGAACAGCTGCAATTGCAGCAACACCAACTTAAACAACAACTACTCGGTAACAACAATAACAACAACAACAACAACAACAACAACCAAAACGAAGACCCACTGGCACTTTTGCTTAAAAACAAATACTATCACACGGGGCCGCAAGAGTTGAAAACAGTCGGTCGACCACATTTGTTGTCCAACAACAACAACAACAATAACGGTCCACACGGTGAGTACTACCGCGGGTTCGAACGCCCGTCTTAAACACGCATAAATCATGTGCATATTCGGTCATCGAGGTTCAACACCACTTCATTGTCTTTACCACTATATGTACTAAAGCGACGGCTGCGCATAAATATAATATGAACTAAATGCGGACAAAAACGCATTCCACGTGGACCGCCGTATACCATCATGCGAACACACGCGACGTGCCCATAACAATAATAACAACAATGTAAAAATGTAATCTCGGTATATTGTAACCATAACATTGCTCTAATCGCACACCTGTACATTCATACACATTTTACCGTTTACCATTGAATCGCGATCGCACAACATAACATACTAATGTAAGACACGCGCGCCAATAACCGTATAATGTCGGAAAGAAAAATAACCGCATGTTTGGCAAAAAAATATTAAAAAAATACAAAACACAACATTTAACGCGCGCTTTTACGTCATACGCGCATAGTTTTTGATTTTCTGTTGCAAAATCATCGCTGTAACATAACGCGTGTACATATTTTTTATCCTAACAGCTCCGCGTCGTATCGCGAAACGCACTAATACACCTGCTGCGTACCGGCGCAACCACTTCTGCTACAGCTGCTGCTGCCGGTACGACCGCTTTAATCACCATTAACCAAGTGCTGCACCGCCTAACATGAGCATATCGCGGGCGTCCGGGTTATGACGCTCCCGGTACCACGATTTTTAATTTTTCGAAGAGCCGAACGGGCTGCGAATAAAATTATACCATTAAAAAAAAAAATAATAATAATAATAATAATATTTCAAAAAAAACCGTTACGCTACAGTTTGTTCCGACTTGGGGGAAACCGCTAATCACGATCCGTTCGCGATAATAGTCCCACGAGCATACGAACACTGTTTTTACGACACACGGGACTATTAATAACTTGCTTGATCGTAATATTTTAAAAAAACTTGCTAGTTGTTCTTCCGAAATTGTTATCGTATCAACCTGTCCATTGTCGTTACCATGACGATCTCGATATCATCTCGTTTCGTTTTCCGTAAACGTGTTGAAAATCATGAGGTTAACGAGTGGCAAACATTTGCGGAGCGACGAACTTCCGCAAAATAATAAAACAAAAGCTGTTCGCGCGAAAATTCAAACGAATGTCCGTGTAGTGTCCTCGTGAGTGGCGGGAAGAATGAAAAAAAAAAAAGAACACGGTTCGATTAGCTGGGAGATATCACGACGGGTACACACACTCGAGGAGACTCGGCGGGATAAGACTTACTGATTAGCGTTTATACGGTCACGGTTTGGGCAGGGCGGGGGGGGGGAAGAAAAGCGAAAACGTGCACTGGACGCTCGCGGTATACACCCCACATAATTGCATGCTCGGACCCGGTAGATGATGTTCACGTGGTGACGTTGTGTCGTGTTCGCAGCTGACGAGTGCGTGGACAAAGCCGGAGCCGTGGACATGCTGGGAGCCGTTTCCTGTTACGATTACCTGACCAGGTACGGCGCGGCGCAGTGCTCGAACCCGTACATCCGGGAGAACTGTTGCGCCGCGGTCAAGTACGTGTGCCACGGAGCGGCTTCGGCCGCGGGCGGTTTGCCGTCACCGCTGCAGTTGCAGTACGGCTGAATCGTCGCAGCCCGATCACGAGCAAAGCTGATCGGTCGTCCTGGTCGTTCGCACAACCACAACCACCACCACCACCACCACCACCACCGCGCACACCACCCCAACGCTCGAAAACACGGCTCTATCCGACGGATAAACGATATGATTAATATACCTACCTAACACATATAATTTACGATTTAAAAAACAAAAAAAAAAAAAATAAAAAATAATAATATACAATACAATCTCTGTGAGATTAATCTATTATTATTATTATTATTATTATTATAATTATTATTTATGCCTCGTTATGTATGTGTACTCGTTAGACAATCGATTTATTGTACTCTTTAAGGGATGAACAAACATTTTTTTTAACAAAAATCACTGCTTCATTGTTGTTGTATATGTATATACGTAGAGTACGCAAGCAATGTACCTCCTACCAATATAATGTTACGTGTGTACACATTTTTCAAAACATACTCAAATCTATATCATTTTGTGTATATGTGAATTTTTTTTTTTTATTATTATTTATTATGGTTGCACTCGACAAAGAAACCAATTTGTAAAACCATTGTCCAAGAATAATATATCGATTTAAATATTTTACATTGTGATAAGCTTGTACATTACGTTTTCGTGTTTTGGAATCTTTTTTTATCCGATTAGATTGTTCCTTGAAAACTCTAGGATAAAACTGGACTAAAAAAGATTTTGAAACCACGACAATTATGTGATTCAAAATTATATTTTTGTTTATTGTATTATTAATTACAATTAATTAGGTAAATGCAAAATCTGCCTATAATATTATATATTTAACTGATTAAGGCGTTGTTTAGTTTAATTATTAAGTAACAAAAATGTACATACAAAAATATATGACAAATAAGATAAATGTGTATTTAAGTTTTTATTTAGTTAAGAATGTTTTTATACAAATGATACAAATATAGAAATTAAATACTAAAATAAGTCCACACCACCAAAAATTAAAACCTTTCCACAATTATAACAACATAATATGGAAAATTATTGACTAAGAACTTTAACACAATCCTGGAGGAACGAATTGAAGAAAATATTCAAAACAACTTCTGTAGCCGTATTGATAGCAATGGCTATCAATCATTTGCATTGCTGTTTTTTATTAATTCATTAGGTAAAATATTTTGCTCTTGTTGTGTATTGTTTTGAAGTGATGTTTGTAGTGCTTCAGCATTTTCTCCAGGATTGTTTACTCGTTTTTTGTAGTCCAAACAATAACTTGTCTTGCACCAAGTCTGACAACCATCGCCAAACTACAAAAATAATTATGATAATTAACTATACATCTTTGATATATTAATAATAATTATTAATAAACTGAAAAAAAAACCATGATAAAAACCAAAATAATGGAAAAATTGGAAAAATGAAATAATATCAATTAAAGAATAAATAAATAAATTAATTAATTAATTTTTATTTTCTATATTAAGCTTTAGTTTCAAATCCTATAACATTAACTCACTTTTTTATTTTATTTCTAATACATTTCCTATGATAATAACTATAAATATAGTAACAGTGAACAACAAATAGTTTTATTTTTAATTTCAATATGAACCGATAATCAATAAGTTTTAACTATTTCATTGAAACACTATAAATTATAATTAATCAAATTCCGAATTCAACACTATATTATTCTTAAAATAATTCAGCAAAATTGAATTTTATTAAAAAATGTGTAAGTATGTAAAACGATTCTCTCAGTATAATGCATAATTAATATTTAACATTTAATAATTTAATTTTTAATTCTAGTATAACATTTAATTTTATAAAGTTAAAATATAATTTATCACTATTGGTTGAAATTAAACTAATTTTAGCTCATATATCAAATTTTAATATAATTAATTATTGCTCCAAGTACAAAGTGTACATTTGTTTAATTTCATATTCACCAATTATGAGTCATGATTATGTTAATAATCAACAACAATGTTGTAAAACATAATCTATCAAAATCTGAGTTATCTAACCAATCAAGCATTAAAGAAATCAAATATTTTCAATTACTATACCTAAAAAACCTATCTCATCGTAGATGAGGAAATTTTCAAAATGATAAATACAGAGTATGGAAAACAAATCAGTAAACCCTATGCACTCATAATTTGCCATAATATAAATTTCCTCTTATTAATTGAAAAGTGTCTCCTATTATTTTTTCATATCAAATTTTTGTTATATGTTTATTAAAAAAATGTGAAAAGTGTACATTTGTTCCACTTTCATTCATTTCTATTAATTCAATATAGTGATAAAAAATCTTTATTTTTCTGATAGCCAAAACAGTATGTTATATAATTTTGAGGACAAAGTTAAAAATTTTATTTAAAATAATGATATTATTTGACATTTAAATAACATTTTTTTTTTTTTTTGCATTAGCCTAAAAGTTGCTAACAAAAATAATATTCATAATGAATAACATACAAGCATATAAAAATCAACTGGAACTCCTACACAAGAAATAAATTCTACCATGATGCCTTATAATTAGCATATGCTATATAATAACCAGTCATTATATAATAATTTCTTATAATTTTCAGAAATTAGGGATATAACAAACATCACATAAAAGTTTAAAATATTCATTCATTTCAGCAAAGTGTATTCTAAGCAGAAGCATGCACCCACTCAGTTTCAACAAAGGTTGCACATTAATTGAACTCATAAATTCTTAATATGCACATATAATATTCACTCCAATCTTCTTCAACAAAATCTATCTGCTATCTAAAAACTATCTGTAACATGCAGGGCTGACCCAAACAAAAATAATGCACAAGGTAAAATCAAATTTTGCCGCCTCTAAAAAAAAATTGAACTCTTATTTTAACTTAGCCCCTCCCCCTATTTTCTATTGGAAATTGCGCAAGTGATTGAGCTGTTATATTTATATTTTTGGAATAGTTGAAAACACCCAGCGTAGTCCGTAATATAAAGTAATATAATAACTTTAGACAATATTATTTTACTATATAGATAAGTGGTTTTCACGAATCAATTAATTTAAATGTTTACACCGATAGAATTAGAAAAAATATATGAGTTAATTTTGATTTGATTTAATAGTTTATAACTTAAAAACTGCCAAACCAATGAAAAATGAAAAATTATAATAATTTTCAAAACCCTGAAATTCAAATAACATTTGATGTTAATTGAAAAAATTTAATTAATTAAACATTCAAATTTTAAAAATTTAAATGTACAAATTATAGTGTTAAATAAATTATATATATATTTTTTCAACATAACAAGTAAAAAAAAAAAAAACACAAATATAAATATATTAACTTAAGTATCATATATTAAAATATGATCTGAGACATTGCAATTTTATATTATACCTATGGATATAAATAAGAAAATAAAAGCATTAAATAAATCAAATCAATTAATATAAGTATTTTTCAATATTATTTTCCAAGCCTCAAAACTATTACACAGCCTGTTACTTATTTGCAGTGTTATAATCTTGTTTTAGGTTTTAGTAAAATACATAATCTTAAATCTCAATACTATTCTTAACAAGCAAGTTATTATATATCTATTAAGTAAAGTGTTATTAAGTTTTAATAGTATACATATCTATTATATCTTACATAATTATTGGTATATTATATAATTCATTCAAATAAATATAGTTTTTAATAGAGAAACAAAGCACTTTGGTACAATTTAATTAAACCTGTATAGAATAACAAAACATTACAAAATAATAATGATGATATTTCTTCCACTATCTTTCATGGTAAAAAGGTAAACAGTTTTCTAAATTTTCTTTAATTATATTTATAAGGTATCTTACATTTGTAAAATAATTATATCATTTTAAATTTTTTTTGTTGATAGTGCAACATTTTAAAATTAATCATACTCCCTAAATAATCGTTTACTAATTACGAAAATTCTGCAAATTGATAATATTTAGATAAAATTAAAAGAATTAAAATTGATAAATATTTTGTAATAAGTTTAATCTAATTTCTTATGAGTAATGACTAAATATAGCAATACAATTTCTATTTGAATAATTTATTTATACAAATATTTATCTAAAGATAAAATAAATTTAAATTAAACAATAAATTCTAACTTCAAAATGCAAGTGGTTTAAAAAAATGTATTATTTAAATATGAAAATATTGATGTTATCATTGAAAAATATTATGGTCTTGAATACAGGGTTAATAAAAATTTAAATTAATATTCATAAAAATAAAAACATAGTTTATCATTTTATTCAAAATAGAAATCAAATATAATAATATATAATAAGGCAACAAAAATAATATTACCATTTAATTTAATACTCATATTGAATTTACCTTAAAATTGATAAAATGCCTGCTGGCATAACTTTTCCAGTGTTAATAAATCGAATTCCCATTATTCCTCCTAAAACTGCACTTGTACCTAATGATAGTGCCAAGTTATTGGGGTTTTTTGTGGTTTGATATGCACCATATCCAAGTAATGATCCAAATACTAAGCCAGCTGATAAACTCGGAATACTAGCTATAAGTAAAATACTGTTTTATTTTTAGCATAAATTATTCAAGTATACAGAATACAGTAGAACTAAAAAAAAAAACCTGTAGATATTATAACGTAATATACCGAATGATATTTTACAGCCAGATTTATAATTATCAAAGTTCAACTATACTCAGAGATTATATTATTATGATATACAAATGAGTACATCATACCTGCTTTTGCATAACCGATGATACCTCCTGCAGCTACTGTTGCAGCATACGCAAATCCGATATAATCGACAGTCATTGTAAACAGTGGGTACTCGTGTACCTAGTGAATTAAATCTTGTTAAATTTCTAATTGATGTCAGATGATAACCAAGTGGATGTAGCGTAACAGGTTCTTAAATAGTTTTACTTCATACATTCACTATTATCCTTACTCGTTATTCCGTGTGCTATTAATCTTATCAATAAAAAAAATCGTATTAATTGTCGTTATTAATTAATTGGTTTTTTTGTGTGGCGCACTTACCAACACAATGCGGATTCCATCTTATAAAAAACTAAAAATGATAAATAGTATCCATAATAAATGATAAATGATGACGTGATTAGACGGACCTACGGTATTTGACCTTGAAATTGATAACGCACAATATATTCGTATATAGGACAAGTAGGTAATCATTAATTTCTTATTCAAATTGATTATGTCGTGCATGTCTAACCTACACTCTACAAGAATCAAATCGTACTTTTTGCTCAACTTTCCATTTACAAAATTTAGTTATTAATATATATATATATATATATACACATATATACATAAGTTAATTATTTTATATTATAATATTTTACACAGTTGACAGAGAATTACCATGCCATACAATATTCCTAAAACTGTTTCAAAAATATATATTCACACTGGCAATGTGTTAAACACTAATGAGTTGACACAAAAAGCTGGTCAAAATGCAACTGAAGAGGTAAGACATTTTTAAATATTTTATCAGAGTCAACACTCTGTTTTCGAAGAAATAATATGTATAAGCATGGAATTTATTTTCTTTGATACTAACTTTAGGTAGTTGAATGTTTGAATATATGCTTGTCAAAGTGTCCATCATCATTTGCATTACATGAAAAAACTATACATTTAAAATGTGAAGAATGTTACAATAATGACAATGAAGAAGAGTATTTAGCACTCAAAACAAGTGTTAAAATATTTTTAACCACAAATGAAGTGGATGTCTTAAATGATTCATTAAAAACCCGTAACACATAAATTTGTTATCTACTTATACTTTATACTTAAGAACATTCTTGTTTTAGTTTTTAAAGAATTAAATGAAGAGGTAATTGATTCAGTGATTTTAACATTAAATCACGGTAAAGATACTAAATTAGCTGATTTGTTAACTCTATGGACTGTGCTTGAAGGATATGTTAACAAAAAAAAAATTACACGTATAGGAGTGAGTGACATTGCCACAGATTTATTCATTGCTCTCTACAATAACTCAATTGTAAGTTTATTTTATTTGATATTGATAATGTATTGTTAGATAAATAAATGTTATTATTTCTATATAAAAATCATGGATTAATTGTTTAACCTTAGATCAAGCCAACAATTATTCAAATAAATTTGAATTCTTGTTGTGTTGTACCAGAAGCTCTACAAGAATTCACTAAAGATAATGAAATTCAGCTGTTAACACACAATGATTCAAAAGGTATGCACATTCAGTTTATATATATATATATATATATATATATATTGTATAATAACGCTGTGTTTGTTAAATTCCTTTATTGCTATATAACATAATAAGAATTAAAAAATAATTTTATACGAATTAAAGCATTCATATTTTTATCCAAAGTATATTTTTTAACTAAATACACAAAATTATATATTAGTATGCAAGTTTGAGTTATTATTACTCTACAAATATAGAAATGTAGATTTAATCTAATATGTTAAACATTGCCTAATTTTCCTTGAAAGTATATTTTGTCTAAAATTATTTCATCATTATTTTACACTTCTTGAATTATAAAATATACAAAATATCTAATTGCCAATTATAATTATCAATTTTTAAAATAATTTTATCATGCTTCACCTATAATTTTATATTAATCATATTATATACATATTTATTTATACATGCATTTTATTTTTTAGAAATTTTACCCCAATCTTGCTTGGCTGAAGTTTTTGGAGAACAAACTGAACTAAAACAAAAAGTACCAAAACTTGAATGGATGATAAGATATTTAACACATGTTAAATGTAGAGGAGTATTAGCAAGTAAAGGGTATGTTGTGTGTCTTAAAAGATAGAATAAATGTACAAGATGGTAAATCATACAATATATACAACTTTTTTCTTTTTTAATTTTTTAATAAAAAGAATATATTTTATATTTTTTCTTCGGACAAACTAAATTATTTTATTTATTCTTTTATTTTTGTAAAGAAGGCATTTTAAGTTTGAATATAATTATTTGTAACTTTGTGAAATAAGTGATGGTTATATACTTAGGTAAATTATGTAATTATTAAACAATTGTTAATATTTAAATGGTTATATTAAATAATAAATATATTTTATACACAATAAAATATGTAATATACATTTTAATAAGAAATGTTAGTTATTGAAAAACTATAAAAATTTTCTTTCAAAATTAAGATTTTGTTAAAATATTTTAAGGTTATAAGTGTTTAAAAACTTTCATTTAATTTCTCCAGTAATTAAAATAAAGAATAATAATAAATAATTTAAAAATATAACAGATTTCACTGTAATTGAATAATTAAACAAAATAAAATTTTAGTAGGTTAATTACTTAAATTCAAACTATTTCTTAAAGTTACATATAAAATATATTTTATTCGAATAACTGAAGAATGCCTTCATTAACTTTTGAATGTTTAACTAATTTATAATATTGCTGTTATATTCACAAAAGCATACCTATGTGATAAATGTTTTTATTGATAGTGTTGGCACTATGTATACTTCTTGGTCAATAATATATTAAAACATTTTGTTTAACCTTAATTTTATATTGAACAATGTAACACATTCAATTTTTGTATTTGACTAATGATTACATTATACCTGTGTGCATTTAATGCTACAAAATGCATATATAAATAATTGATAAATTAATAAAAAACATTATTAATACAATTAACATTAAAAAATATGCTTAATAGCGTGTTAATTTAATATCCACAGTAAAATATATGAAACATAATTAATACCCATATGAATTTGTTAAAACTAACATTATAGTTTATAGAATTTTAGATATAGTATTACTAACTATACTTATACGTGATTATTTTATTAATAAAACTAAGATTATTACACACATACTTATTTTAATTAATTTGACCTAGTAGTTTACAAAAAAAAAATTTAAAAAATAAAAATGTTAGGATTAAGTACTTTTTACACATAAAGTATTTTATATTAAATTATGCTCTAAAAATAATTTCAATTTTTTCGACAACAGTTATTAAAGTATAAACATTAAATAAACACTTACAATATATATATCTATATTATCTAAAATAATTAAAACAGGCATGACTTTATGAAAAACTTAATAATACACAGCATGCCCAAGGCCAATAGTTTTCAAATAATAAGTATTCATTTTAGACTAAAAAGAAGTTAAAACTAATAATGTTAGTGTAAATAAATCAGCAAATATAGTATCTATAATACCTAAATAAAGGTGGTCCGAACCGTGGCCTTCAAAGCCTTTTATTTTGGCCCTCCACCATAGAAAACTTATATTAAAAAAAAGTCACAATAATATTATAACAAAATCATTATATGATTGTATCCTTTTAATATTGTTTACTATAAAACGTAGGTATACATGCAATGAGTAACGTCCAAAACCATCATTAACTTTGGCTTACTACATACATATGTAGGTATAGTATTTTTATAACAGCTACAGCGAACCCGATTTTTTGTGGTGGGAAATCATGTAAGTCATTATTAATATTATTATAATCATTATTAGGTAACGATTATTGATTGCAGGTTTTACTGGATAATAATATTTATTTATTTTTTGGTGACATCGCTTAGTGTTTTTAAGAAAGTAGAAAATTGGCGTGGCAACTACCTAAGGTTGGACCACCCTAACCTAAATCATTGATTGCTATTTGTTATTACATAATATCAAAGAACATTTCAACAATTTATCACGTATCGTTGAATTAACCTAACCTATATATGAACTGATCAGAGAAATACATTTTTTTAGTAGTATAATATCCACTGTGTCGAATTCAAGCACCTGATCAAATTAAGCCTTGCAACAACTATTTAAAATTACTATAAATTTAATAAATTATTTTATTTTCAATGTAACATCTATAGTATGATAAAAAAGCATCAGGCCTTGCTTCACCCTAAGGACCTGCTCTGAATATCCGGGACTATTAAATAAAAACAAAAGTTTTATAAATCTTCACAATGTAAATAATATTAAGATGGGCTTATTCATGTTATAAATTGATTAAGTATGTGGCATTTGACATATTTTAACAGACAAAATAACATGATCATATGCACACAATTATATATTGTCTCAATCGTGAGTTTTCCGTTTAAAAACATTAAACAAATGTTACATAATATGAGCAGACTACACTTTGAATATAGGTAAGTCATGAGTACTTACTTAAGATGTCTTGCGTGTTTATTCCACTTTATATTTTATTGTATAGAACACCCTCGATATCGTGAAATATATTGTTCAGATGAAGTACAGTAATCACTTGAGATGAGAAACGTTCAACACCACCAAACACTTTCGATCGAGAAAAAAAAATGTAACGCTTTGAATCTTTAACGACAGACTGGAAAATAATCAAATTGGTTTTATCAAAATTATTATACGAAAACCGGGTATTATCAAAAATTCTTATTTTTGGCGCGATAAGTAAAAAACATTGGCGGTTGCCATGTTTCACCGTTCAAGGCTGATAATAACGATGGATAAGAAAATTTTTTTTATATTTCAAAATAATTATTCAAACTTTACATATAAATGGCTAGAAAGTTGATTTCGTTAATTATTCAAGATTTTAATCGATTTTTCAATTAATTATTTCATGACAGTAAACGGCATATTTCACAAACATTCTTTGTGCCAATGTTGCCAAAACTAAACATACGGTTGATTAACCTCAACAACAATGTATTTACGATTATTCATACATTTTTTAGGAATTATAATGATTATCACAGTTTCCTTTTCGGCTTGAGCTTTTGTCCTTTTTTTTTTTTTTTTCATAATTGTTGTATATTCTTTTCTTTCTTCATTATTATAAATATGCATTATGAGTAACTTCAAATTGTATATCTTTTGTTCGTCTCCTGTTTGCTACGACTAATTTTGTTTAACAAGTTCTTAACGATGATCGAAAACCGAACAAACCTAAGCGTCCCATAAGACAATAAACCAAAGACGAGTGATTTATTAATTGGTCAAGTCGTGTAACAAAGGTAACTCCGAGAAGATATTTAGCGTTAAGCCGCGCTTATTTCCATGATAAGACTTGAGAATTGTGTATACTTTTTTGATCATAACTAGGAATCATTTTTTTTTTCTGTTAAAATATTACCGTTCAAGTTATATTTTTTCTATTTTATTTAAGATTACAGACGTCCTTCTTGTGTATCTATTATTTTGTGACATCAAACATATAATACTATAGAGATCATTTGTTTGATGTGTATATGCATTAATTTTCAGACCTCATATGTCTATTATATTTTACATTGTTGCTCTGCACTTCTTTAGATATAAATATTATGCAAATCATGTAGGTAGTTTTACATTTCATTGATTATATACCAACTAACATATTAAGTACTTTTTTATTTATATCACTGTTCTCAAACTGACTTCTGAATTAATATTATTCAACAATTATTTTCTAAAACTTTTTTTTTTATAAACTTTTAGCAATATGGATGAGCTTGAAAGTGAAGATAGTTTAGATGGTACGTTAGTCATCGACGAACCAAATTATGATAATAACATAATTGAAATATCAGATGACACAGACTCAGATGCAGATGTGGAAGTTGTTGAACTAGATGATAGCACTAATTTTATTCCTTCTTTATTAAATTCTTCAAGTTCATTAAGTAAACCTAAAACCGCTTGTAAAGTTTGTTCTAAAATTTTTCTCTCTAATAATGACTTACTTAATCATATCAGAAAGTTTAAAGGAAAAATAGGAAATTGTAAAGTTGGTACAAATATTATGTACTCCAAAAGGAAAAATACTGAAGATCTCCAACCTGAACACTTACTAAGAAAAAATCTAGGTAAACCACCAAAAAACAGTAATATAATAGAACCAACAGTTCCTGTAGCTATTCCCCTTAATATTTCATTTTGTCCTTCATTGATACCAATTAACAACAAGCCTACCCCACCTCCTAGTAATAGTTTACCATCTCTGCGCCAAATACTAGTTGACGAAATAGAACCAGAATATACATGTACAACTTGTGGTCAAACATTTCGTCATAATATTGGACTGTTATGTCATTTAGATTCTGAACATAATGATGCAACCATTAATCAAGTCAAGAATAAAAAAAAAAAATTATCAACTAAATTGGTTGAAAAGAAAACTGTTTCAAGTGAAAATAAACTAACAGAAAACAATGAGCCAATATCAAATACCGTTGATTTAACTTTAGTACCAAATTTTAAGAAAGAGAGTTTATGGAATAGAATTAAATCATATGTGTATAGTGCTAACAAGAACCAAGTATTTTGTGTTTTATGCAAATTAGAGTTTAAGAGTACTAAAAAGGCCTTAGCTCATGTCGAAGATAAGCATATTATGGATAAGATACAGTGTGGTTATTGTAATATGAAATTTGTGTATGAATTAAAACTGCGAAGTCATATGGCGAGAAGACATAAAGTAATTGGAGTTTATAAATGTGATAAATGTTCTAAGATGATTAATAAAGAAGAATGTGAATCACATTCTAAAAAATGTAAAGGAATAGCAAACCCAGTTAACATCAAAACTGAAGATACAAATTTAAAAGCTTAAAACTATTATTCTGGTAAGTGTACGGGTATCATCTATTAACTATACTAAAATAAATAGTACTCTTAGTTTATAACATTAAACATAAATATTGCCATAATACCTATTTAAAGAAGTATAATATTACATAAACTACTAACCTCAAAAACTGATGTAAGAAATCATTACTATTTATTTATAATAATTACCATCATTTTGTTATTTATTATGTGTAAATGTACATCTGAAAACAAATAACCTTTTTACATTTAGCATTTACACATGTACAAATCTAATTATAAGAATTAATTATAAGTCTGTATTAATTCTTAGTATTGTTTTCAGGTAAATATGAACTAGTCCAATTAATTTAACAATAATATAGTAATAGGTTAAACAAGTTAATGCCAAATATGTAGTTGTATAAATAGTGTTTTATTTTAAATATTTGATAAAAAAAAAAAAAAAAAACATTACAAAAATTCTGTTATTAAATATTCAATATCCCTTTCGATGAGATAGCTTATGTCAGTGGTGTGCAAACTGGGAGTCATCAAATTTTATCAGGGGTAGCCTATGTGGTTTGACACCAAAAGAAAAAGTTATATATTGTGTACAATAATTTCCTTAACCTTATATTAAGTTATTAGATTTTATAAAACTCAAATTTTTTGGATTAATTCGATTAAAGAAATATTTAAATTTCTTAAAATTAACAATTTAATAATTTATACTAATTAAATGTTTGAGTAAATTAAGTAATTATATATTATACATTTACATAATGTTGGTAGGAAGAGAGGGGGTCAAGTTTGTTCAAACGAAATTAATTAATTTTAGGATCATGGATCATAAAAGGTTGTGCACTGCTGGCTTACATTATTAATTCTTTTTTTCTGAAGGTGTTTAATCTATGCATATAATAACATTTAATACAATTTAATTCTAAAAAGAGCTCATACATATTTGTTATAATAATTTTAAGATAAATCTTCAATTAAAATATTTAAATCTGAACTTTTAGAATTATACAACAGCAATTAATTAATTTTAGATCAATTATTTGTTTAAAATTGAACCAAATTATAAACTAATTAAGTGTATTAGTGTTTTTTAAATATTATTTTTTTTATAAATACAAAAAAAAATTAGTTATATGGATACTCCTCTTTTTAAATTCATCATGCAATACACTCAAAAAAATATTCTTAACTAGACTGCTGAATAAATTAAAATGATGGGAACAATTTGTTATTACAACTTTATTGGTTTTGGTATAAACTTAATAATTTCATATACTTATGTTTAAACAATAATTATTACAGTTTAATATAAGTGTTATTAGTTTTAATGTTAAATATTTATAATAATAAAAATATTTAGTTATTAGAACTTGTGGGTAATATTAATTTAGTGCTCAATTGTTCATCGTGTTAGAAATCTCAAAACTTAAAATATATTTTTTTTATTGAAAGAATAAAAAACATATATTATAATGGAGTAGTCTGGTTGTGTTTCATGGATCCATAAATATAATTTTTAAATTTGAAAAAAATTATTAACTTTTCAATCAATAAATATTAATAATTTGATTAATATATTCAAATTAAATGGCTCTTTATTTATTTTTGTTTCTTAAAAAGTGTATTAAAATGTTGTTAAAATCTTATGTTGTGTTCTACTGTTTTACTTAAAAGTGTTAATAATATTTATTTTTATGTTCCTTATAATATGTTCATTTATAATTTTCTAAAAATATTTTATGGAATTATATATTGCCTATATAAAAAATAAATTTAAGATTTAAATTATAAATTAAAAAATAGTTTGTATTTTTCATACAATTAATTGATAATAAATTAGTATTTATTTATCAATCCCATAAGTGTAGACTTATCTTGCTGATAATTAAAATAAAATAATCTTGTTAATTGGTCAATCAAGGCCTTTATTTTTAGTAAAACCTGTTTTTATAATGATATTTAAATGTTTGTATTCTAAATATTTGAATTGAATCACTTTTTACATTTAAAATTAAGTAATTTAAAAGTATTTTATTGTTTGAATAATAGTAGTTAGTAATTGAGATATTGGTTCAATATTAATAATTATATTTTTTATTTTATAATATTAATAGTTTGAGTAGGTAGGTACCTATTTTAAACCGTTAATAATGGTATTTATGTATAATTTATTATTCTGCCATTTTTAATTTATAGTAAATACATTTACTTTAATTTTGGCGTAAAAATGTATTTTATATTATTATTATGATTATATTTTATTACGTTTTTTACTCCAAATATGTAATGACAAATTTGCACTATATCACTCGCTATCATATAAAATGCAATTTTGTTTCATTGCAAATTTATTAATTTAGTATAATTTTCTATTTTATTAAGGAACTATAGAAAAGACTAGAAAATATATGTTTAATAAAATATTGGTTATTCTAATCAGAATTCAGTTTTATTTGACTAGATTATATTTATTTTATTTATGATTAATTTTATATTATCTGCATCTAATTTACCAAAGTAAATAACTATTTATTAATATTTCCATAATAAAAATTAGAAACCTTTTTTTTCTTATAACAATGAAGCAATAATAGTTAACAAGTACAATATTATTTGTAAACATAAAAATTAATTATAAAGAAAACATCTTAATACACTGATTTATAAGCTAGTATCTACCAAGAAATGTATGTTTATATATGTTGTCAAACTACTTAGACTGAAATTATGTTTTAATGCTTTTATTTTATTTGCATATTTATCTTTTGTTAAAGCTTGTATTATATTTATTTATGTCTTTTGCTAAAATAGTTAAATCTCCTATATTAAACTTTATACCTAGTCACTTTGTTTTAATATTTATTTACTTTTCCAAAGACTTATTTATTGTAATATTTTTATTAGTTCAATAAACATTATTTAAATATAAATATATATTTATAAATACATATACATGATATTTAATGATTTTCATGTTTCCTTATCTATGACTAAGCAAAATATACCAAATAGTAGAAATAATATTCCCATCATTGTTCCTGAAAAAAATAACAAATAAATTATTATATTTTAACAATTAATATTATATTTTTATCGTAAATGTTAGATAAAATTTGAATACTTTTGTTATGCTTTACAACTGTGTATATATATATACTTAAACCTAAACTGTAGCAATAAATAAATATTTATACCACCCATAGCATATGTTTCCATGAATTTAAGTGAATAAACATAAAATTGAGAGCAAATAAATAAGTGTATCTCAAGAAAATACTTGATTTCACTAGTTTCTCTAAGTTTATACTTAACACAAAACAGTTGCAAAGTAATATTGTTTATAAAATAATAACCATAAGTTTTTACATAAATTATTGTACTAACTACAAAGTAAAATTTCCACATATGTATAGTATGGTATTAAATAATAATAATAGGACAAGATAATTCAATTGAATATAAATATTTGTTAAGAATGGAAAGTATTTAAATATGATTGATACAATATTATAGAATATTTTCTGTTAAACTTACGAAATTTTGGCTTTTCCTCTCCAATTAAAGTGCCTACAATTGATGTACTAACAAACGATACTCCATTTGCAATAGGAACAGCCAAAGATATATCTAAAAACATTGTTTAAAAAAAAATATATCTTTATTTATTATTTTCATATTAATGTAAATAAATATATACTATTTCACCTGAATATTTGAGAGTAAAATAGAATAACAAAGATCCACACTGGTTGATGATAAATGGTACCAAATACTAAAATATAATAAATTTATAAATGTATTAATGTATTTTAATAAAACAAATCATTGAATTCATTTAACATGTGTATGAACTCACATTCCAATTAGTTAAGTGATCAGTGACTTCAGAAATAAAGTTCAATCCTTTATTTCTTTTTACTTTATTAGTTGCAGCTTTCAGAAATGGATTTGTACCACCCCATAAAATTCCAACAATAAACAATTGAAATATTGTATCTATAACAAATAATCGTTTTTAATTATTCTATAATTTTAGCATATTACATTTCTTGAGTCACAACTCGCAAGTACATACAATTTACAGATACCTATAGATTATTGTTGTTTATTGCCAATTGAACATATGATATACTTTGATCACTACAGCTCTATCAAGTTTATATACAATATTAACAAAATAAATAATTCAATAAAAGTTTCGAGTGATATTTATTAAACTTGAGTATGAATTATGATTTTCAATAACAATTACCGAGTTTATATCTAATTTATAGTAAGTTCAGTTATAATTACTCTGTGCGTCGTACTCGGATTGTTATTTTTAATTGTAATTCAAAACAAGTGACCAACTAGCAATAGTATAAAAAGGAGGGAGGGCCAGCCCGCCAGATATTTTTTTATAATAATGTTTAATAAATACTTTTTGAACCTAATCTTATATTATTTAAATGTTTTATATTTATAGAATATTGGTGGAAGGCCAAACCTTCCACGAATATGAAATATTATAAATGCAAGACTCCTTCCATAAACAGTCAAATTTACGCCTATGCGAAATATCTAGTAGGTATACATATATATTTTTAGGATTTTCAAAATCTTTCAGTTCATATATTTGTGGTACCAGGATCATCAACTACATACATTAAAATTATTATTATACACACGCATATGGAATATGGATATATGAAATACGTTTAAAACTCTTATACCGCAAAAAAAACTAATTACTAAAAAAAAGAGTAAAAATGAAATGTTCATTATTGACATTCTTATGCTTTATTAATTCTTTATGATGGATATTTATTTGTTTGATGCCGTTCCCTTGTAATATGTATTACTTTAATTTTGAAGGTACAAGAGTTTTTTAATCAACTAATTATGAGAATTTATAGTCCCACTACAAACGGTAGATCCAATTACTAGTGATTCATGGTTCTACAACCGTCATTGAGAATAGTTTAAATTACATTAAACACAGTTTTTCGAAATCCTTAATTGTTTTTTATATTTTCTAACTGTTTGTACTTTTCAGTTCTCATAAACATCGTAGGTGTGTTTTTAAAAATAATCATTTTTTTTTTTTTTTTGGTGTAAAGATTCAATAATTACTCTATTTTTCACAATTAGAGGGTCAAAATTAAATTTTGAAGCAATAATATATAATAAACATACACTTTAAAACCACATAGGCTCATTGAAAAAATCAAATTAACAATGTTTGAGTTTAAAAAAGATAAACAATACTTGTGTTTTTTAGCTCAAAACAAGAATTTTTATAGTTGTTGAAGAAATGCATATATAATGCTTTTTTTCATTATTATTATTATGTAGGTGAACCATTTTTTCCGAGATATATTGGAATGTTTAGCTATGGTCTATCATCTACGAATACTGTGAATTCATAACATTTATACCATAAGACCCTAGGTCACACGTACTTGGTGTTATGTGTTCAGTTGTTTAGTAAATAGTTTACAGACAAGAAATAAGGCATCGATAAAATAGTAATAATGCTCTGTCCAATGGCGTCGCTAGATACTTTTATAGGAATGGCAAACTTCATAAAATATATACTAAGCAATTTCTCTGGTTTCACTCGGGGAGTGTAATTTCGTCATATCGGAAATCCTACATAGGCATGGTTATGGATTTTACAGTGAACTTTTACGTATTTCCCAAGTGTGATACAAATATATAACAAGAATGTGAAGAAAAAAAAGGCCTTAGGAGGAAAGCAAATCGCCCTATTCATCCCTTCCCTGAGGACATCTCTAGCTCTTTAATCAACTTGAAATTAATTATAGTGGGCAAGGAACAACGAAAATTGTAATATTTGTTTAGTATACAACACCTGGTAGATGTCTTTTAAGAGGACATCATACTCGTATACAATGTTTTACATAGGTACTTCTCCGCCTTTCTCTTAACTGTTTGGGTTTGGCCATTCTTGCCCTAAACCTCCAATCGTTTCGATTATTTTCTATATCCTCCACGCACATACCAACGATCCTCATATAATTTTTAATCGTATCCAATCATCTCTTTTTTGATTTTCCTCTTCTTCTTTTCCCTTCAACGTTCATTTTCATAACCACTCTTATTGCTTATGTTTCCCTCACCTCATCACATGCCCAAACCATCTCCATTTGTTTCTTCTCATTTTGTTTACTATAGACGCTACACCAATACTACCTCTCGCATATTCATACCTTATTCTATCTTCTCTCGTCTTCATACTATGATTCATCAGCTTCATTCCTCAATAATTCTCACATTCCTGTATGCTACCTTTGGTTTTAAATATTGGTATAATAAAACTCTTTCTTCAATCTTTAGCCATTTTTCCCTCTACTAACAATTTCAAGATCACCTTTAAAGATCTTTCAACCATTCAATGCTTACATCCCCTAAAATTGTCTCTCAACTCTACAGGCACTCCATCTAGTCCTATCACTTTTTTCTTTTTTACCGCCATCTGCGATACCTTCACTTCCTCCTCACTAACAGAACATTGCGTTATGGGTTTTTTAAACTGTGATGTTTTACACGATCATAACTCTCTCAAAAACAAAATTATCGCAAAAACCTTACAATAAGAACAAATTACGAATTCCTCTTTAAGTTTTCCCCGCGGGAGGGGGGAGAAAGTTGAAAACGAATGGACACGTGACCAAGGACCGTGGTAATTTGTGTTCTAAAAAATCGCATAACAAGACACTTGGAATCTAGTGCATCGTTTAGGTCCACGTGTGATAAGACAAGGTGTGATCTAGGTACTCGTAACACACCATTTTAAAATTCCAGCGTTCGGTATAAGATCAAGTAAAATATATTTTCGCAATATTAACACATAATAATAATAATAACAATAAAAACGTGTTACACAAATGATAATGACTAAAGTTAAAACGAACAACACATTACGTATATTACAACGACGTCATTTTACGCGATCGAGGTGTGCGCGACACGGTCGATCTACGAACGGGACTACAACAACGCGGGGCACACGCGCAAAGACGTGCGGAGGATACGGGAAACGAGGGACACCGCGGCGGATGTTGAAACGCGCGTCGGACCGGCCGGGGGGACGCCGTTCACTCGGATCTTCTTCTCGCAGCCGTTCACTCGATCTTCTTCTCGCCGCCATCTTTCTTGGGCGTCAACTTGCGCCGCAGCTCTTCGTCGGCCGCGTTCTGCGCGCCCACCACCTCCGCGAACTCCCGGTAGTTAGCGTTCACCTTCTCCTCGTGCTCCTGGTCGTCCACCCACACGTCATCCGGCGTCACGCCCTCGCCGTACACGTGCACGTGCCGCGCGTTGGCCGTGATCACATCATCGTCCGTGACCGGTATGAACCGCGGCGGTATGAACGCGCCGGCCACTTGCCGGCCCTCGCTCACGATGAAATTGTACGTGGCCAGCGCCGCGTCGATGGGCAGCACCACTATGTTGCACCGGTGCTTGCGCGCGGCCGCCAGCACCACCGTGTCCACCTGGCGGCGGTACGTGTCGTCGCCGACGCCCAGCACCACCACGGACGGCGGGGGCTCCAGGTGGAACAGCAACGACAGCGAGTCCTCGGACACGTCCCGGTCGTCGTTCACGTACCACGCCATGATCGAGTTGGAGAAACACACCACCGGCCCCAGCACCATGAAGTTGTTGTTTAACCGGAACCCGAACTGGCTGTACCCCGATATCATGATGCCGTCCCGGATGTTGTTGTTGTTCAGCATGGACACGTAGGTCTTGCCGTCGTTGTCGTACGAGCCCACCCACCGGCGTCCGGTCGGCCGCGTCCACCGGTTGCGCGCGACCACCGCCGCGGCCGCCGATCGTGCCGCGTTTCTCAACGACATTGCGCGGGGTTTTCTACTTGCCGTTGACCCTTAACTACGAAGTGCCCCTACGCACGCACACGCACACCTTTCACGGGCCCTCCTGCTACTCACGTCACGCAATAATACAGGCACATCATACGAATATCATTTTTAATTAAAAAACCATACCTTCCATGGCCGCGGCGGTGTGAACGTCGGTGCGAACCCCGGACGAGGCTGCGCGATCACGCGGAACGGCTGGCGGCCGGCGGAATATTTATCTATCCGTTCCGGAACGTCGTTCGGTCGTCGAAACGCGGTGCAACAATGCAAGCGGTTATTGCGAATTATTACGAAACGTAGTAGTAACGATCGATTACGATACAGCTGTCCACGGATCCCTTCGACTTTTCCCTTATCACGTCGTCGGACGAGTCGTGTTCCGTGCCAAGGAGGCGTATCACACCTCGGCGGCGATCGCTTATCTTCCATGTTGTCGTCGAATCGTGCTGATAACCGGGCCCGGACGCGAAATTTTAAAACATGTCAACAACGTCATAGTTATTAGTTCTTCGCAAATTCATTATAATTATACTATTATACGATAATTTAACGTTCAAATTTCAATGCAAAAGTTTTATGCTACCATGATCGTTATCATTGTTACAATTTGTTATCAATATTAACTTATTATCATATATCTGATATCTGATGGTCGGATGTTTAAATGCGCCGCGACTTGTTTTAAAATTTCGCGGCCCGGACGATCGAGTGTGACCAACAGCGGCGGGCCCACCGAAACGGAGCTGGTTCTTACTCGACAAATAAACGTATTGCGCGCGCACGAGTGGCCTGATAACCGACGATATCGCTGTTGTATTTATTTGGCATTCGGTCCGCGCGAATCTACCTCGGATTCGTTGCGAAATACCCGTCGGTTTTTCGCAACACCGGATCCCCGTCTCGCGCGACGACGAGCACCGCGTCGAGTCCCGTCCCGACAGTAAGTGCACACGCCGAAATCGAACGTGACGCGCTCGCGGTTCCCGGTGAACGCCGCCGTCCTTAGCCCGAGACCGCGGCCGGACCCGTAGTCCAGTCCTGACATTGCAGGTATCCTCGGCGTGCGTTGTCAATGACCCAGTAATTAATACACAATAGTGTCCTAGAGACATCTACACACCGCGGCCGTTGCGTACGCGTTTCGCTCGTGTCCTCGGAATTATAATAATTGCTGGATTTTTTTCATTATTATTATTATTCGTTCTCTCTCTCTCATTCTCTCTCTCTCTCTCTCTCTCTCTCACACACTCTCTATCGGACTGACAACGGTAATTATTTCGATTTCGCAAGGTATTTTTTTTAAGGTTTTTGCGCCACTGCCGCAGTGGTCGTCTCTCACGGAACGTATTAAGTAATCCGTGATCGAACACTCGTTTTCAGAATCATTTTAGTGCGTGTGTCGCGGTGTATGGCTCGTAAAAACAAAGAGAACAAAAACATGGCCCTTTCGACCGCGCTCAGAGACGAAGCTGACAGCAGCGAAGACGATTACAGGCGCAAACGGGATAAAAACAATCAGGTAACTTTTTTTGATTGTCAATCGCATGTGTTCAGCGTTGTTGATGATTTATCGTTAATCTGTTAGGCGGTGAAAAGAAGTAGAGTGAAAAGCAGAATGCGTACGCAACAGACGTTGCAACGTGTGAACCAATTGAAAACCGAAAACGACATGCTCGAGGAAAAAATTAAACTTTTAAGTAAAGAACTAGGATTTTTAAAAGAATTGTTTATGGCACAAGCTGGTAAGATTCATTGATCAATAATTATTTATTTTACCTAGTTATTTTTTAATTTAACTACTTATTTATTTTGGATTTTTCTAACATTATATTTTAGGAACATCACAAATCGAACTTCCCAAATCTGTTGACCTAAAAACATTACTGAGTGATACTACATCGGACATATTGGATAGCGATTCAACAAAAACTCCATCATCCTCATAAGTATAATACAAAATACACATATTTTTTTGGGCATAATATTTATACCATATTATAATTACTTATTAATCATAATGATTAAATAATTTTTAAAATATTTTTGTCCCGGGCTCAAAGAAATATATATTTATTAGGTTATAGAATTTAAACAGTGCTTAAATTGTTTTGTTCGTCACAAAAATGTTTATTCAATTGTATGTACATTGTGCAATATTTATACTTATTTTTCAAATTGTTTTGATTATGTGATTTGACAAATATTTTAATGTTTATTACTTGTAACAATGGAGTTTTCATTTGAACAAAAGTTTTCCTGATTTTTATCACATTTTAAATGAAAAAGACAATTGTTAGTGCATTTAATTCTTTAGAGATTAGTGTGTTAAAAATGACTAGAGTATATTTTTGTCTTATGGTTTTTTTGCTTCAGGTTGTGTACATATTTTTTTACACTAGATTTTATTGTTTTCTGGATCATCAACATATAAACAGTTAGATAACAAATCCTTTCATTTTAATTTCCATAAAAATAAGTTAATTGAATAAATTATATATAAATTAGTATTCAACCAACCCATACTACTTTTAATACAGTATTATCTATTATGATGCAAGACTTGAAGTCTGGTATATCAATGTAATATGTTCTCTTATCACATTGCTGTGTAACTAATTCTTCCTAACTAGTGCTCGAGTGAATCTGAAGTTTGATTTATTGTTTGTATCAAAGGTCAATTTTTATCAAGTGTTTTTTATTATTATATTATTTTATAACAAAAGAGATAGTGTTTTATATGAACATAAAAACTCATAACCTACAATGGATGTAATTTTTTTTCTAAGATAATGAACCATAATAATCATAGTTATCGATTTCAACATAAATACTTGTTATTGAACTAATAGATAATTAATAAATAAACTATAGGGTAGTATCAACACTTCAAGTATATATTTGTTTACATTTATTTATTGTTCAATTAAAAGTACAGTGAACTAGCATTGACTATATGTATATATCTATTCAATGCTTAAAGTGTGCACTGTACAAAAATACTTTCTATATTTAAAACTTTTTATGTATGTTATTGTTTGTTGACCTATTGTGACATTTTAAGTGGTTTAATATTGATTAAGTTACAATTTCAAATCACAGATTAATTAATTAATAAAAATTGAACTTCAAAATTTAAATAATTGAAAAAAATTAATTGCTGGTATTGGTCTATGTTAGCCTAATGTTTACATCACTTATATGTAAAATAGTATGTAATGAGCACAGTAATATAATAAAGACTAATTGTAATTTAATATAATCTAATATAAATGTACAAACAATTATTTTTTGTTATATTTAACAAACATCAAAATTATGAAAATATTTTAAACGTGAATATCAATATTCACCTTAGTACTTAATTATATCTCTTAAATTATATCAATAATATGACCTTTTAAAAAGTTAGTTAATATGTATTCTTTATATGTATTTGGTAGGGGAGATAACTGAATTATATTAACTTAATACTCGGATTGATAGTATAAGAGTTAGTTCCTTCTTTGTAGATTGTTATAAGTGTCTTCTGTCTTCATTTATCTCTATTTAAATATACTATTAAGATAGGAATGTGTTAACATTTTTACACAGGCCCTCTGACCTATTTGGCCGCTATGTTATACAAACAAATATGCTGCTCCCCTCCCCACAATTTAATACCTGAGCACTGTCCAGAATTTTCTTAAATTTCAAAAATGTTATTAAAATAATTTTGAGTTATTGTTTATAACATGTTTTATATTATGTTAACAATAATAACTATAGAAGCAATTATTATAATTTTTTTTCTGAGATTTGATTTAAAATACTGCCCTAAATTTTCAATCACCCTTGTTTTTTGAACACTGCATACCTGGTTAGCACAATTTTGCTTTATATACATTTTTTTTCCTACTTATTTCTACGTTCCAAAATTTACATATAACGTTCTATAAAATAGTTATTTAATATAAGCTATGGTTTTTATAAAAAGATAATTTTTAAATTTTTCAAAACACGGTTAATTCAATATCGAAATATAAGAAATACTGAAATCTCTAAATTAAAAAAATTGATATTTTTTACAAACATTGTAAATTAGTATTTTGATAAAATAAAGTATTTCCATGGATCTTACTATTATTTTTATAAATAAAAACCAACCGTAACATTTATCAAACAATTATTGAGACCTCTAATCTACTCTTTCTCTTTAATTTCATGCCTCCCATTTCTAAAAAAAAAATCTGAAATACGCTTCTTAACGACACTTAACTGCATTACGCTATTTATACCAGGACCACTAGTGACATGTACAGATTGCCATTTCCGTTGTTTGAAATAATTAAATATCAATACACGTTACTCAGTAACGAAGGACAGAAGCATACCCAGGAATTTTTTATGGAGGAAGGTCCAAAATTTTTATTTTATCTGTTCTCTAATTGTAATTATAGTTTAACTCAATACCAACAAATTACTGTTTATATACTATAGTATGGTTTATATATTATAGGATTATTATATAATCTATAAACTTTGTATATTGAAGATAATGAGAAATTAAAATACACAATATATATTATTATTATACTATTTACTATTTAACGTTTAGTATGTAGAAATTTCAATGGGGGGTCCGGACCCGAACCCCGCCCTTGGCGAGGGAACTTGTTTTCACAATGAGGATTGCATAAGGATAACACAACACGCAAAGTTTGTAAACACGATAAGGTGTAGGTTAAAAATAACATGACCGATAACGGCGACAACACTGGACAATAATCATTAATTATTCAACCGTATTACATTATCAAATATCGTAAGCCTCACTACAAATTAAGTATTCACAAACTTATTGAACTTTCCTACCTTCAATATAGATATCTGGTGTAATACATGTACAGAGTGTCTCAAAATTACTCGTGAACATTTAATTTTATATACATATATGATATTGCTTACCGTTGCAGTTATTTGATATTTTAACGATTTTTTAATTGAAAAATATTTGTATCCTTTAAGTATAAGTATTTGAAACATTACTTAGCCTTTTAGGTGAAATGTTTGATTATTTTGGTATAAATTTTAATTAATTAATGATAATAAATTCTATAATCATAGAATAAATTAAATACAATTTAAAATCCGTTCTGTGTTGTACAATATTATCTTATTTTATATTTTTTCACACAACGGTTATGCCTTAACTTCACAAATACAATTAGGGGTATGGTCTAATTGGCTTAACTCCCAAATATTAATCTATCCTCAACATAATAGACTATCATCAATAGGTACATGTACAAAATAAAAAATGAAAAAATTAGTCCCTCAAAAATAGAATCTGGTTGCGCCTATGAATTTTTATTAGTCCATTGCTTTTCCGGTAAAATTATAATTAATATTATGATTCACATTCACATTCATTAGCGAACGACCCAAAACTTCAAATTATAATTATTACTTAATAATTAGTTATTACGTATTAAAAGCACTCACTATTTACAAAAATACTTCTCAACAATAATTAAGTTACTATCAGACTTCAATCTCAAACATTTCTATATACATATATGTTATAAATATAATATATATATGCCCTATAAACCCTAATATACTTAAAAATTGTTTTCGACGACAACTGTTGATCCTAAGATATGGATGATTGAATAAGTATACTATATTTTACTACTATATTTGACTGCGTGAGTTTATATGGTGTAATAGTGTAAAGCACAAAACAATTCATATTCCATTCGATAAAATTTTAGTCTGATGGCAAATTATTGATCACCAATTTACTATAGCTATACGTTTTGTTTGTCGACGTTGATATTTTACGAATGTTTAAATATTCATATTATTTTATCATTATTATAGCAAAAGCACGTAACTGTTGTTTATTTATCGATGAATAGTACCAAGTCGCGGTGATGGACATGTACAATGATGTTTTCACTTTGGCTGGACACCTCCCCACGACTTTAAAAAAAAGAACTAATATATTGGTATTATAATTTATTTTATAATATACTATTTTTATTTTATTATAAAATAAAAGATATTTTTGTATAAAAAGCAAAACTTAAATTAATTTGATTCGATTTGACAACACATAGCGACATTTAACGATAGTTCATCAGGGATATCTAAAAATCATTTAAATTTTACCGGGTCATTAAGTTAACAAAAATACACGCAGTAAAATATAATTACAACAAAAATATTGTTAATTCTTTACAGTTTATCAGTTAAAGAATTGTTAGATATTTTAATAATAATGGTATTTGTCAATTTGTCATTCATTTTTTCGTCGACCCTCAAGCTGTGCGTAACAGGTGATTATTGAATAACGTAAATATTAAGTACTTATTTTTTCAAATAAAATAAATAATTATTAATACAAACCAGCTATAAGAATTAGAAATCATTATGAAATAACAAATCAATGTGTCATCAATTATTATTCAATATTAATATTATTTAAAATTTTTAAAATAATATTTTTATTTTTATTATAATTCTAAAATAATACCACAAAATGCAAAATAAACCAGTTATATCTTAACCAAATTATTACATATTACAAAAAAAAAAAAGTAAGTAAAGTAATTTGTAACTAAATTTATTTTATTACTTTGATTAGTATTAGGCTTCATTTTAATGTTTTTTTACAGAAATAATTCTAAAATGTTTGTTTATAAGGTTCATTAAATGTTGAACACCCCCAAAATACGCTACCGGACAAGTAGATTGTTTATTTATTCATATGGTAAATACGTTGTTGATTGTAATATTCTATGTATACCTAAACCGATATTACAATAATTTAACAAAAAGTCAGTAAACATCAGATGAAAATATTTGTCGATTGACCGATGATGAACCCATGTAAATTCAAACCCAATTAATATATTCAGATAAAATTAAATACAATCGATTAGAGATGAGTAGTTCATAAATGAGATGATTCAAAGAGTTAACTCTTTAGGAGAATTGAATGAGTTAAATAAATATGCCACGCAATTTAATTACTCAA